CATCTTTCATCGTTTCTTAGTGCAAAGAACGTTGGGCTGTCTTTTGTATCTCAAAGAGTATTTTCGGATTATTCCAAACACCGTTGTGGGGGAAATTAAACTCTTTAGGAAAGTGTTTACACGCCTAAGATAGCATATCAAGGATTGAGACTCAAGTGGTCACCGGTTTTTCTCATGTTCATGTTGGTTGTTAAGGCTTGGAGTAGAGGCAAGTATATTATCTTTCACAATTAGTGTTTTCTTTGTATTTTCTGTAATACTTCGATATTTTGGTGTTTGGTTGTAATACATTGAATTGTATTTGGATTATTGTATAATTATTAAGTAATTCTTGTTCTTGAATTGCTGTAAAACCTAACATTTTGTATGTGTTGGTTTTTTTTTCTTTGTTTGTGTATATTTTATTCTTTAATTTATTTTAAGTGTTATGTTGATTTCTTTTTCAGATTACTTTGCTAGTATTTTTTTAGTTTATTTGATTTGGTAGTTATTTTTCTTATAATTTTTTTTATGTGTATACATTTTTTAATTTTTTGAAGGTGTCGCATTTTTGCCATGGTGCGGGGAAGAATATAGATGACCATGATATGCCACCGGCCACTACCGTGGATGCGGTATGTGTCATTAAACATTTATTGTTGTGTTTTTGTAATTGCTATATATCGTTATTCAATATAATATTTTTTTTTGTGTAGTGGATGGGAAAGTTGATGCAAGTGGGACAGAAACTCTCAGGAGAGGAACAACATGACGACTGTATCTTCACAGACGAAGAAGACTGGATGACGATGTACGAGGCGTTATCCTGATTGTATATCACGATCCTGTATTCTTATACTGTTATACAATCGTAGTTATCTTTTGAAGCCGCCTAAAATTTACCGAATTTGGGTTGAAGTCGTGTTAAATTTCTTCCGCTGCTTGTTAATTTCTTCAATTTATGGTAATATCGTTCTTTTATCTAATCAATTTCCTTGCTTTTGTGCTTGAATATCATTCAGATTTACTTGGTTTTATTGATTTATTGTGAAATTACATTGAATTTTTATTTATTGTGTAGTAGTAGAAAGCCATTGTATTTAAATCTAGGGTTAACAATATGGCGTGCTGCGTGAATGGGGTTTATTGAGCGTTTTAGTTGATTTACGTTTCAATTATTTTGGGTTTTAGTCTAATTGACTGACAATCTCAAATGTTGCAGAATTTCATTTAATTTGGTTTTTTTTTATTACTCAGATCCTCCTTTTTCGTTTTCTCGGCTGGGTTTTGCGCTATGAACTCAAAAATTGGCCTAGATAGATTGGGTTTCAATTTTATGGAATTTCTTAAATATTAAATGACAATACATCATACCATGTCGCCGTCTAGAGTCCTTGAGAGATTTCTGAGTTGCTACTACTAAACAAAAATCAGATCTAATTGCAACTTGTTTTGCCCAATCAATCGCTTGTTGAGCATCTTCGAAGGGACCATCATGTACAAAAATCCTACTATGCCATATTATTTTTAAATACATATAATTATATAAAGATTAATTAATAAATTTAACACAAAATTAACATAAGTAATTTCTAAAATTTTTATTTGTAAATTTAATTTCTATATATAATTTACACATACAAAATTAAACATAATTTTATTAACATATATTTAAAACATAATTTCAGATTAAAATAATTATTTTTTTTGAACTTATTAACACATATTTAATTTCAAATTTATCAAAGTTAAAAAACCACAAAAAAAAACAAAAACTTTAAATAAATTTAAAAAAAAAATTACAAAAACTTTAAATAAAATAAAAAAAGTTTAAATAAAATTACAAAATAAAAAAGAAAACAAAAAAAAAAAATTACAAAAAGTTTAAATAACATTAAAAAAAAAAAAAAATTACAAAAAGTAGGAGTGGCGTCCTGGCCAGGCGCGACTGCCACGGTTGCGGCGTCCCGGCCAGACGCCATTGCCACGGTAGTGGCATTCCAGCCAGACGCCACCCCTACTTTTTGTAATTTTTTCCCCGAATTATCTTGCTTTCCGGCGACGATGACGGCTCTCCAGTGTCTCTCGGCGATCCACTCCAGCTCCACATTCTACGTGAGAGTGAATTACGGTTTCGGTAAAAATTAGAAAAAGGGCAAAAGAGTCAAAGTAAAAATAATTGTGGGCTTTATGTAGAGATTTGTGGGCGATGTTTAACAAATCCCTTGAAACAAACTAACTCACTTTATTCGCAGCGTAAGTGCATCATCGCTGAAGTAAATCAAAGCCATTATAATGTTATCTATTGCATTAAAATTATAATTAATTAAGCTATAAAATTTTTGGTGGCCGCGCCTTGGCCCCACTATGGATCCGCCAATACATATTATTGGTAGAGCTGAGCTCGATAAAAAAAGTGTAGATCGAGATGGTCATTGAGGCTCATTACTAATAAGTAATAACTTGGTTAGTACCATTGGTAGACGAGATCAGAGTATATTAAACTTATTTAAACTGTATATATTTAATTTAGATTATGTTAGTATGAAATGTTTTCGTGAATAAAGGGTGCAATTAAAAGTCTTGTCTTAAATAATTCAATGAAGGATAGTTGTCATTGGGTTGAAATCATCAATATATGCTACACAAATATATACTACAGCCGTTATTGTAAGTTCGACTCACTTACTATTCATATAGTCAGAATAAAATAACTTTGACTACATTTTATGATTTATACAATTAAAATAATTTAACAAATTTGATCTTATTAGATTCCCCTTATGATAAATTTTTCAAATATCAACTTTTTAAAAATTTTACTTATACATTGTCGAAATTATTAATGGTCAAAGATGTGCATTGGAAACTGTGCAAATGCAAAGTGAATCGAACTTTCAAGAGCGAAGGGAGTGCTATCACAATTACATTAATGATGGATCTACGTCTACCCATTAGTTGCACTTGCACATACAACTTGACAGCCTCCCACGATAATAAAAGTGATGGCAAGATTATATGATCTGTCGTTCAAATAATACTAGCTAGCTACATTTAGTTGCAATTTAATTGGTGATGTATTTAATACTTGCTAGTAGTGATTTGTTACATAATTATATGTAAAATAATGTCAATGGCTCAATGCATTCACAGTACACACCACTCATCAATTGATGATAAGAAAAAAAATAAAAATTTATAGGATCGTAAAAATGAAGAAAATAACTATAGTTCTTGGTACAAAATATGTGTGAATTGAATTATCTATCATGTATGAGAGTATGAGACATTACACTTGTAAGATTATGGCATTGCACAATTTGCACCTATGCTATCTATACTCCAATGTCGTGGTTGTGGAAAATAAATGTTATTTTTCTATTGTCGGAGGTGTTCATGGTTGCATAATTTGTTATTCTCCATCATAGTTTCTCGACTGTTGGTGAGCCTTGTCAAAAACAATAATGCTTTGAAATTTTACTAACCTTCCTTCCCCAAATTTGTTCCATTAGTTATATTTATGATACATCGTTTCTTTCTGAATTTTCTACATTCACAATCAAATCTCATACTAGTATATGTTTTCATCACCTCTTGTAATCAAATTTTAAAATTTTTTGAACTCTATACCAAGATAATTTGTAAGCCAAACCATATAATGAGTATTTTTTTTACTATGCAATTAGCGACTCAAATTGTTTGTTATTTTTATTTTTATTTTTTCATTTACATGTAATATGTAATTAATTTGTTTAAACCTTTGAACAAAAAAAAAAATGAATGAAGTCAAGTGAATTATATTACTATTGGTATTTTGTCAAACACTTGATTTAAATTTCAATAATTCAATTTCTAGAAGATTTCACATCAAATTTAAGTTATAAAATGCTACCTAATATCTTACAATATTATACCAAACAACCAGACTAAAGCTGTAATTTCTATTATAGGTTTTCTTATAATATCTCACTTACAAAAGATTTTAATAATTTTTTTTGGTGTTTAGAGCTACAAAAGTAGGTGATGAGAATTCATAATCCCATAATCTTCTGAAATCGGAAGGAAAGCTCTAACCAGCCGAACTATCCCTCGCTATCAACCATGTTACCATTTATTACTCATTACCATGAATATATCTTTATCAAAATTTTGTGTCAAAAAAGTCTAAAAGTAATTGTTTCTAATATTGTAATATGAATTTTATAATTACAGTAGGTTGAGACATTATAATAATCTTTATTTTAAAATTATATAAATTACAATTAATTTAAATTCTAGATTTAAGAAGATTGGTGTAAGTCAAATACTTATTTAGGATTCAATTTCAACATCTCAATTTCTAGACTTGAATATATCGATTTTAAATCAAAACCAAGTTACCCAACACTATCTAATATCTTTAGAGTATCATACCAAACTACTAACGAAAAAACAAGACTATAGATTTTGCTAGCATTTTTTTTTTATTTAATCTCAGTTACAATTTTTTTTAATGCTTGTGCTTACCTTTGTTATCTAATTAGCTCTCTATATTCCTCTTCCAAGAGAACATCTTTTCATTAACGACCAATCACATTGCCAATCAATTCAACCACCTTTCCAAATCATAATATTTCTAAGAGTGAATGCAAAATTGTCACATCATCGATCACAAAAACATCCTTACTAAAATTCAATACCAAAAAGTTTCTAAGTACTGTACGTAGTATTATTTTTTCAATAATAACGTAGTAACATATGTATTATACTCATAAAGTTTGAGACAATATAACTTAAATTCCGTTTTTTCTTACACCAAAACCAAAAAAGAAGTAGACCAACCAATGAAAGCTTTAATTATTTGACAAAATGGTGTTCAAATTGCAATAGCCTTAATTATCACATGGACCAGACCTTCTGATTAGGGCCACAAGTCCACATCTTGATCACATGAGATTGGGAGGAGGTCTTTACTCTTTTATGTTAGGTGCACCTATATACGAACTAATTAGCATTTGGAAATGGATGTGTAATTGTGGATAACTTTGTTTTTTCATTGAGGAAAGCAATTTTATTAATTGTATTCTCAGCTACCCCTAATATTATGTATGAATGCTATTTAAGCATCGACATTTGAGTGATATATATAGCTTTCTTTAGTGCTTGTTTTTCCATGTAGGAATATATTTACTTAGCTAGGTTCAAGAATTTGAAAATTCTTTAAGGGAGAAAAAAAGGGTTTCAGAAAAATGAATGGAAAGTCATCAATAGCTCCTATTGCCAAAAGGTGAGTTTCATTATTTCTCTTCTCTCGCACATAAATGTTAATTTCAAAATGGTACTCCGTATTTTATGTCATGTGATCCGTTCTTTTAATACTTTTTTTTTTTTTTTTTTTGTACGACTTGTTTGAAAGAAATAAGTGGGAGCCTTATATTTAGGTTGTTAGGAGTGTTCAAAAGCTAGTCGATTTGCACCAAAAAATGGACACTAAACTAAACCGAAGACAATTAGTACAATCTTCGAGTAGAAAAATATAATAATCCAATTTTTGATTCAGTCCAATTCCAATACCATTTAATAACCAATTTTGAAATGGATTAGATTTTCGTTTCTCTATAGGCATTCAAATCCTTATAATGATTTATTTTTTCTTAAAAATCTTGAAAAGATCATTATATATTAAAACCTATTTTACATTGGCTCTTTCAAACAAGGAGTTAAACATTATATTTTCAAGATCACATAAATTGGGTGACAAACGGTTTTGGTCATTAGAGTTCACAAAGTTTGACGAATTTATTGATTGCAATTTGCATTGAGTTATGACGTGATATTGACATTTGAACAAGTCTTTTGGTAACGTTATCGTGCTATTGCTTTAAATTTTTGTAGCTATGATGTAACAATAATACGAAGTAGTAGATAGATATCTTAGTCTAAGCTGACAAAATTTGACACCATAAGTTGAATAATGCACACTTCGTATCTTATATTTCTTTCTTTTCATAATATAGTGCTTGTTTTTATTTTCATGGTCAAATGTTACATAGTTTGACCAAATATTTTTATTAATAAACATAATCAAATTATATTGAGAATTGTTAGATTCTTTTGATGTGTAATCAACTTTTTATATTTCTACTATCAAAAAATTAAAATATTATTATTGATGTTCAAAGGTTAGTTATATCTTAAAAATTAAAAAGACACCGTATATATCATGAAACAGATGGAGTAAAATTAATTCTTGAATTAATTATCAAATGTCTAAGAAATAAATTCAATTTGTAAAATCATGTGATTAGTACTCATTCATCAGCTCGTGCCATTTCGTTTATTTTTTTTCACTACTATATACTCCTTTTTTTGAGGAAAACTACTATATACTCCTTTATTTGGCAAAAATGAAAGTAGCCTAAATTAGAAGTATCTTAATAAGGATTTGAAAAAGAAAAAATATGTATAGGTAACTTTTCAAATAATTATGCAGGCTGAAAGGGAAGGTAGCCATCATAACCGGGGGAGCAGGCGGCTTCGGAGAGGCCACAGCTAGACTCTTTGTCCAACAAGGTGCCAAAGTCATAATCGCCGACGTGCAAGACGAAAAAGGCGTAGCCTTATGCAACGAAATAATGGCTTCTAGTACCATGGCCAATGGGCACCATAATATTAACAATGGTCACGAAGGAGAAACTATCTCCTACGTGCATTGCAACATCTCCGATGAAACCGACATGAAAAACCTCATCGATCTCACCATCTCAACGTATGGAAAACTCGACATCATGTTCAGTAACGCAGGCATTTCAGGAGATTTAAACTCTACTATATTAGGCACAACTAATGAAAATTTTAAAAAGGTGTTTGATGTTAATGTGTATGGAGGTTTCTTAGGGGCTAAGCATGCCGCAAGGGTAATGATTCCTAGGAAATCCGGTGTCATTCTCTTCACCGCGAGCTTGGCATCAGTGATAGGAGGCCAATCACCCCATGCCTACACAATGTCAAAGCACGCGATTATAGGTTTGATGAAGAACTTGTGTGTGGAATTAGGGCAATATGGCATAAGGGTGAATGCTATTTCCCCTGGTGGTGTTGCTACACCAATATTAGTCAATGCATTAGGGATGGATAAGAAGACGGTCGATGAGTTGTTGTGTGAAGCTACGGTGCTTAAAGGTGTGACGCCGGATGTTGAGGATGTTGCTAATGCCGCGTTGTATTTGGCAAGCGACGAGTCTAAGTTTGTGAGCGGTGTTAATTTCATGATTGATGGTGGTTCTGGCATTACTAACCCATCCTTCTCCTTTGTGCTACAAAATTTTCTTGCATCACAAGGTTACACTTCTTGAGTGGAGTTTGCAAGAGTTACATGTGGTCCTCTCAAAAAAACAATAACAAAAATAAAATAATAATACATACAAAGTAAAAGAGATAATTACTTAATTAATACCAAGGACTTGTGTTTTTCATTATTTTTTCAAATACTTTTTTTTTGTTTTATTTTATTTATTTATTTAAATTTTAATCTTTACAATCAACTACAGCTCATATTTACTAAGGTCTTAATTTGATTTTTTTTTCTTACAAAAATCAAATGAGTATTTCTATATTTGGGAAAAGTAGAAGTACTAGCTTAGATTTGACCAGCAATTTCTATAATTCTATTGTACTCCAATTTACATTAATAATGTGTTGAATTTATATGTTATTTTAATCAAATCTTGTAACATTCGATCTACATAAGCTCTGTTTGGTAAATTTTGTGTTTCTGTTTTATTCTTCACTACTCGGTAGTTTTTAAAATGTCATTACTATAGTCAAATAATTCCAATTTATTGTTAAATAATAAACTAATTATAACAATTAAACCTTTAATTTAAGTGATGATTAGCATATAATCTTCCCTACCTTTTGATTACTTTTCTAAATGTATAATTGTGATTCAAGAGTATGAATTATTATTATAAAAAGAATTAATGAAAACTAAGTGGTTATGGATAATGGATTATCCAATAAGATTTATCCTTTTTAGAGGAAATACAAGTTGATAAGTCTGATATACAATTTATGTATATCAAGGGGTAAAATAAGTATAATTTGGGGTAAAAAGGGAAAAACCGCATGGCAGATTTATGCGGGCAAACTCGCCCTTTTTATGTTAAACTTATGCCATAATTAGTATGAGAAGATACAAAACGCTATCTGCTATCAATATGAAGTGTCTTTGCAACCTTCCAAACAACGTGATTCAATAATCACATGTAGCAAGTAGGACCATGGAACAAAGTTGCAAGCTTTTTTCAAAAATTTAATTTGGACTGATGATTAAAATGGGGCATTCAATTAATCAGAACGTACTGCTGGCTAGCAAATAGCAATAAGGACAATAATTGGGTGTGTGAAGATTATTATTTTAACAGACCACTGGCCACTCTATTAGACTACTAGTACTTTTAGCAAGAAGAACAATAAGCGAGTGTGCAAAGATTGTATTATTGTTACACATAGTCAAGTGGTCATTCTTGAAGTTATTACATCGTCTACGACCCATAAATGCTGCTAGGCTAGCCAACCAACAAGAAATTCGATTCACGCGAACCATGATACAAGCTCTATCTCAAACTATTATCCGGACTCCGAGATTGGTTATCAAGCGTTAACCCCTGCGCGCCAACCTGGTCCTAACAACTAGCTTACTATTGGGGCTTTATATCACTTTTCCTCTGTATTGCCTAAATCAAGCTCATAAAGACATAAACACAACAATTTTGAACGGTTGAACCTAGGCTATACTAACATGAGACTAGAAAACGAACCTAGGTAGACTGGACTACCTAAAAATTAATATTGCTTACATATATTTATATTCGAATATTAAAAGTAAGATAATATTGGGAGATGTTTATATTATACATGAAATGGATTACAAAAACAATTACATACTTCACACACACACAAAAAGGGCCTAAATCACGTCTACTCATATGACATATCCATGCATGTACATTACAACCCATACATGATCATTTCAGTGATAAAAATTCCTTCTACGCAAACAACTTTTTGACGGCCATGGAGAAAGATGGGTTAGTGACACTATACCCACCATCAAGAGCTAAGTTAAGGCCGCTCACAAACTTAGCCTCGTCGCTTGCCAAAAATAACGCTGCATTAGCCACATCTAAGGCCTCCGGGGCAACCCCTTTAAGCACGGCCGATTCACAAATCAACCCATCAACACCTTCCTTATCCATCCCTAACGCATTACTTAGTAACGGTGTAGAGACGGCACAAGGAGAAATTGCATTCACTCGAATGCCATATTGTCCCATTTCAACACACAAGTTTTTCATTAAACCAATAATCGCGTGCTTTGACATTGTGTACGCGTGTGGTGACTCCCCGGCCACCAAAGTTGCAACACTCGCCGTGAAGAGGATTACACCGGACTTGTTCGGGATCATAACCCTAGCAGCATACTTAGCCCCTAAGAAACCACCATACACATTAATGTTGAACACTTTTTTGAAATTGTCACTAGAGGCACCTACTATAGTAGGGTTTATATCACCCGGGATACCAGCATTGTTAAACATGATGTCGAGTTTTCCATGCTTTGAGATAGCTAGATCAACGAGGTTTTTCATGTCGGTCTCATCGGAGATGTTGCAATGCACATAGGAGATTATTTCTTCGTCGTTTTCACCATGATTATTGTTGGTGGCCATAATTTCGTTACACAAGGAAACGCCTTTATCGTCTTGTACGTCGGCAATAATGACTTTGGCTCCATGTTGGACGAAGAGCTTTGCCGTGATCTCTCCAAATCCTCCTGCTCCCCCAGTTATAATTGCTACCTTTCCTTTTAGCCTGTGGGAATAAATAAATATATTATATGTTAGCTAAATTAAATTTTTATAATTATGTCATGTATACATAATACATATATCTCAGCTAGTAAACTAGCTTATTAATTACTCAACAAAAAAAAGTATAGTATGTATTGCAACTATATATATGTGGTGAAAAATCCAAGACTGTTTTGACTTTATTGTATCTTTTATTTCCTATATTCGGGCCACTAATACAACTATGCAAAGGCACAAACCCCCACCCCCCTTCCTAGTGGCTGGTCAGTGCACCTTTGCATAGTTGTTGGGAGGAAGAAGGGGTTTGGAAAGGGTTATGAGGCTCTTACTTGGAAGTTGGAACTAGGCCATGACATCCAGATGGATCTACCACTGAGCTCTCACTCACTCACGTCGACGTAGGTAGTTTGCTAATATATACGACATATATGCAATGACCAAATGAATGAATCATTTCGTGTATGTTTTAGACTAGACGAAAAAATAAGAGAATAAAATAAAAGAGCATACCTCTTAGCAATAGGAACAGTTGTTGATTTGCCATTCATATTTGCAACCTTATTTATTATGAGGGAAGACGCTCCAAAATCTATTGAAGGAAAGGCGCAGAAAGAGTGCCACTAAAAGGAGGACAATCGTATTCCAAATATTGGATGCTTACAAAATTTATGAAGTGAGAATTTAATATTTATAGCAGGACTCCAGGGGTTTGTATTTGAATTATGCAATTTTGAAAGAATTTAAAGCACATGCTATTTACGTGCAACTAATTACATACACCATGTATCTCCAACCTACCTTTTCTTATGTACATACAATCATTCACAATAAGACATTAATAAGGTTTAATATTTATTTTGACAATAAGCCGATAAAGGTAGTTTCTTAACTTGTACAGTACTTTGTATTTTTATTTGTATTGTTTATTTTTTAAAGAAATGTACTCCGTAATCTCTTTTTTCATTTTTTTGTATGGAAAATAATCACATCACGTGGGGTCTTGTTAGTTGTTAGATTTGTCTCAATTTATATTTTCTACTCGGTATATATTAAATTAAAAAAATTTCCATATTGATAATTTAAAAAATAAAGTATAGGTTTATGCAATTTCTATCTTACTCCTGGATTACCATATAAAATTCATGTTATTTTGATGTGAACTTCTTATTATTTTAATTTTTATATATATTATTTTTGAAATAAGTACATGTTATTTTATACTTGCATGTTGTTTTTTTATATTCAACATCAATCATTTCATTGTACTCTTGGTATATATAAAATTCATGTTATTTTGATGTGAACTTCTTATTATTTCAATTTATATATATGTTATTTTTAAATAAGTACATGTTAAATTATATATGCATGTTGTTTTTTATATATACCGTTAAAGTAAATAAGCAAATAACATATTGTTTTAGCAAAATAACACAAGATTCAAACAAAATAACGTAAAGTTTAGGCAAAATAACTCAAGCATATTGAGTATGGAGTACCATGCATGATCCAGGAGTATATAATACTAACTCATTGGTTTATTTGTACATAGAAATTTGACAGTCTTCATTAACTGCCAAGACTTTTCGAATGATCAACAGGTTAAACTACGGTAAATTCTTGCCGACCAATACGGTCATTTTTTATCTTATTAAATGCTTGTTGCCAACTTACATCTTAAAAAAATAGGTACTTTTTAGCCATATCAAAATATAGGTAACTTGTTTTCAATGCAGTGAAAATGATTGTTCGGATCCATATTTTGCATTTCTAGTAAATATGTCAAATTAAAGATGGTAATAAACTCAAAATGTACGTGATGAATATTTTATCAAAATTATCTGATAAAGTTTGGCCGGAAATTAGGTGGTTGAGGACACGGAAAGGGACCTTTTGCCTTATGTATTTAAATATATAAACAGATAAATAAATAATCTGAGGTATCACAACTGAAAATCAAATATAAATACGTTCAGTTTTATTTTACTATTTTTTATTTTTATTTTTATTTTTAGGGGATGTATCTAGTAATCTAGATACTATCAGCAAAATTGTTAATTTAATGGACCTAATTTTTGTTGGAATATTTGCTTCAAATTATTCGTGATTTAACTCCAAAGTAATTAATTTGTGTTAGTGGAGTCATAATAGTAGTGAGTTTAGTGGGTTAATGTTAGGCATGATAAGTCGATGATTATGATATCATATTTCTTATTTTTAGCTTAATTTTGCACAATATATATGTTGCTATATATATTTCGTTTTTCAATGAATCGAATACCATATGTAAAAAGTTCTTCATCCCCTCTCTATTATTATTTAGTTTCTACAATGTTGTGACTTTCTTGGATCCAAATCTAATACTCCTTAGTGAAATATGAGTAATATATATTATATAACCAATCATGGAATTTCAACATTAGTTTAAACTTTTAGCTAGTTTATTTAGTTAATCTTTTGATAAATAATAGAAAATGCGAGTTTTAAGATTTTGATACAATTGCATTTCAAAAATTAAAATTCAACCAGCATCAACTGTGCTCGCCAATGAGTAATATATTGTGTGACATTATAAGTTACAAATCACTATATAAAATTCTCAACTCAATCCAAACCAAATTCAAACAACTTAATTATATTCAACACAATTTAACTTATACTTCATATATCATATTTTATATGAAGTATATACATATACTGTACCAAATTTATACAATTTCTGATATCACACCTTGAAATATGGTGAATTGGTGAATCTAGACCGTTGACCAGAATTGCCACCCCTTATTATTTGTAGGTGATAGTGATATTAATAAGGCCAACCATAGCAGGCCAACTGGCCAAGTAAAACTGTAAATAATCTATTCATACTGCAATAATTA